AAACTGGCTAAACAACAGAATCATTGCTAGTTAAATTCAGGATAAAATTTTTCTCCAGCACATGAATCCTTGCCAGCATGAAAAACTGCTTCACCTTTTAGAATTGTGCTCCTTTTTATAAATTGTCCTGTCAAGCTAGTTCAGCAAAAGAAAAAGGTCAAATAGCTTTCACCCTTTTATGATTGGCGTAATAAACGTCCTTTTCCCAACATATCTTGGGTTAGATATAATATCATTCATCGTTCTAATCAAAATCACGTGAGAAGAATTTGAGAGAAAGCATGCCAGAGCTTTTTCCACATTGTGGATTGAATCTATCTTTTAATATCAGGGCCATTTGTTGAGTGGAAATCATCTAATAAAATCTCACAAATCCAAGTAATTATTGGTGGATAATCAAGGATTAGGCTCCTATTGACGAATCGCTTTGACAATATTTAGTGTGTAATTATGCTTTGATTTAGTTGACTATAAATCATGAATGTAAGAAACGTCTGTTTCAACTGTAAACAATAATTGCACCAGCTTAATTATATACTAATCTGATTTTGACATACAAAGCCCTTTGGTATTTTGCTTGGTAAGAAAGAATTATTAGAATACATTCTTTTTTTTAAGCTATACGGAACTTGCTTGATTGCAACTATATATAATTATGATGGCCAAATACTTTTATTTATTTTTTTACCTAAAATTAGAAGTGAGAAAGACTTCCACTCTTAAGGTTCATAGAATATTAATATTTGATGTATTATCAAAATTTATCACTTTGTTTAGGGTGTTGGGAATAACAATTCAAATCTCATAACATATTTATTTGAAATTTAGTTATATATTACTTGATAGACAAAAAAAATTGCAAGAGCAGAATTCTCATAGGAAAAGGATTCTTGATAGCCAAGTTTATATGATTATAAATAAGTGAAGTCTCTATTAGATTAGGTATAAAAAAAAATATAAGAGAGTTAGAGAGTTTTATAGGATAAACACTACATAGGACTACTGAAGATTTGTATCTTATAAGTTTGTATGTTTGAATGTGTGTGAGTGGATTAAAGAAGATTAAGAGGGTCTATGAATATTAATTATAAGTGCCTGATTTAATGTTTGTTTGTAATTCTCTAGAATTAGTGGATCTTATTTTTCATCCGTGGATGTAGGATGGTTAGGTCGAATTATATTAAATTATTATTTCTTATGTGATTAATTGATTTTACTTTTGTTGGCTTGACTGATTGGAGGCTTTTTATCTAATAAGTGGTATTAAAATTGTCGTGATCTCAACAAATAGTATCAAAGCTGAATGTTAGATACATGTGAAGAGATAAACCTAGAAGAGCTCAGTTCAAGGAAAAGTTTGAGTGCATGTTTTAAAGATTGGTTTGTGAGAAGCATGAAGACAAACAGAAAAGATTGCCATGAGATTTTCATTGTAGGTGGAGCCAAACATATCTAATATGAAGACTAATGATTTGATAGAATTTGAGCCAAGGTAGAGATTGTTAGAAATAATGACTCAAATCCCATAACAGATTTATTTGAGATTGGTTATATATTATTTGATGAACAAGAAGACTTGCAAGAGAAGAATTCTAAGAGGAAAGGGATTTTGATAGGCAAGTTTGGATGGTTATAAATAGGTAAAGCCTCTATTGGGTTATGTATAAGAAAAATATATAAGAGAATTGTATGGTTTTATAGAATACACACCTCATAGGATTACTGAAGATTTATGTCTTATGTATGTGTATATTTGAATGTGTATGAGTAAACTAGAAGAGACTGTGAGAGTCCACATAGATATGGTATATAAGTGTATATAGGCATGTATTTGTTTAGGTTTAATATACTCCCTAGGATTAAAGAAGATTGAGAAGGTCTATAGGTATTGATTACAACTATTGGATCTTTTTTCTCATCTGTGGATATTGTCAATTAGGCCGAATCATATTAAATTGTTGTCTCTTATATGATTATTTGAATTTGCTTCCATTGGCTTGAGTGATTGGAGGTTTTTTGCCTAACAAATGGTATTAGAGCTGTTGTGATTCCAACAACAGGTATCAGAGCTAAAGGTTCAATACATGTGAAAAGGTAAACCCAGAATAACTCGATTTAAAGAAGAGTTTGAATTTATGTTTTAAAGATTAGTTTGTGTGAAGCATGAAGACACACATAGAAGATTGTTATGAGACTTTTATTACAAGTGGAGCCAAGTATGTCTAGTATGAATATTGATGATTTGATGAAATTTGAGTCTAGGTAGAGTTGTTGAAAACAATAACTCAAATTTCATAATAGATTTGTTTGAAATTAGTTATATATTACTTGATGAATAAGAAAACTTGTAAGAGAAGAATTCTAAGAAAACTTGCAATAGAAGAATTCTAAGAGAAAAAAAATTCTTGATAGGCAAGTTTATATTATTATAAATAGGTGAAATCTTTATTAAAATGTAAGCAAGTTGTAAGGTTTTATGAGATAGACACCTCATAGGACTACCGAAGATTTACATCTTATGAATGCATATATTTGAATGTGTGTAAGTACACTATAAGAGACTGAAAGGGTTCACATAAATATGATGCATGAGTGTATATGGATGTGTTTGTTTAGGTTGAAAATACTCCGTAGGACTAGAAGAATTAAAAGGGTTTATGAATATTTGATTGTAAGTGCTTCATTTAATATTTGTTTGTAATTTACTACAACTAGTAGATCTTATTTTTCATTTGTAAATGTAGATTGATTGGGTCGAACCATTCTTATATGATTGATTAATTATTTAATTTTACTTCCATTGATTTAACCGATTTAAGGCTTTTTACCTAACATAAGGCATGAGCCTTTGAAAACAATTCCACAAAGCGGTATTTAATTTTATTTTGGTAAATTAAAAGTTTAAGGCGAAGAGAGGTTTTTTTATTTTAAAATCAGAGTAAATCATAAATCTTATAAGATTTGTATTGGATTTACAAAATACGTACTCGGCTGACAACAAAACTCAAATTTAAAATTTACAAATGAAGTATTCAAACTTTACCAATTCAACCAATTCTTTTTGTCGGCTATCTTTGACTCATTGTAAAGACCAATATTAACAGACAAAAGCTTTGAGAGATTACTTGGGGTTTTTCACTTATATTTCCAGGTTTCACTCTTGCAGAAATTAAGCACATACTCCAACTAAAATAATTCGAGGATGACCCATTCCTTCGCAGAGTAATTCATTGTCCAATTTTGGGTTCAGGATAATAAAATTGACTAATTGTTCTCAGCCACTTGTCCAAATTGTCCCAATTCGATAAGCCTCTTGCCGAATAAAGTCAGCATGATCGGAAACTACAGTTTCGGTGAAAGCAACGGTGTCTCATAGGTGAAAGCAGCCTCAAACCAACCACAAAGAATCAAACATGTAAAACCTAATAGTATCATCCTTTAATAATTGATAGCAGGGGTGTTTTTTTTTTTTTTTTCTTTTTGACAATTTAACAATTGATAGTTTCCCTTCAAATGATGCTAAGTTCATGTCAATAAGAAGGAAACAGAAAGGGTGAATCAAATTTGGGAAACTGGAAATAGGAAATATTTCTCACAAAGATCATCAAACACCAAAATTAAGCAGCTTGAAAGTACTAAATTAACTACATGTTTGAGAATTCGAGAAGTATATGTTCGACATAATCAGAATAGCAAACATAAAATCTTGGATCATGGTGGTGAAGCTTTGATAATTTACGCAATTGGTAGTTGCAGAGAGGAATGGGAAAAGAAAAATTATAAGAAGAAAATTGGAGATGATATGATTGTGCAGAACACATGGTGCATTAGCATATCAAATTTGACTACACTGAAATGGCCATACCTTCTCCGTTGAAAGGGAAAAAAAATTAATGTTCAATTGTTCTATAATCATGCCAAAAAGTTGTTAGCATTATTGCAAGACAATGTAGAAAACAAACTTCATGGTCATGTTGTCATTTTTCCAGTTAGGTCATTTTCAACAGGAACTGTCTGAATGAGGCCGAAAGAAATATGTTATTAAACCAATCAAACAAGATCTAACTGCTTCTTGATGAGATAGAAACATATAAATAACCATCTTTGTAAATGAAACCAAAACAACTATTTTCAATTCCCCCTTTCCCACTTGTATTTTTCTATAATTTTGTTTAATCATTGAAAGGAACTGATCTTATTTTACTCTTCCAAGATGTTATTTTAAAGGTTGCATCTCTCTTTTGTTAACCCCTGGGCTTGGCAGCATTTTACTTACAATTTTTTTACTGTAATTATATAATTATCTAATTCTAATAAAAAATATGTAATGATTCATTACTTTAAATATAGATTTCATATAAAATTTTAATAAATTTTATACATTTTTGAATTATTATTAATTTATTGTAGTACACTAATTATAAGTGATATGCTACTAAATCAAATGATATTTTTTATGCCAAAAAGCTTATATTGATACCTTATGCTTAAAAAAAATTTCAAAATATTTAATTTGACTCCAGAAAATTATGTGTAATTTGGGTGAAAGGACAGATATAAGAGCTGAATAGGATTAGCTTGTTATACGTAAAATAGGTCATGATAAAGCAGAAAAACCATTATCAATGTCACCGCAAACTTTACAACCGTCAAATGGATCATTGGCCGTCGAAACACCTAAGGCCGATCGGACAGCAGATTATAGCAGCAATGTCATATTGTTGCAATATTATAGTATTATAGTAAGGTTGATCAGTAAAGACAAAGCATGGAATCAGAATATAACCAAACAAAGCCCAACCCCCAACCGTCATGAGCCAGTAAATAGCCAGGTAAGTCTTAAGCCAAAAGGCAAGGGCTAGCCAATTCCCTCTACACCAACCGAAATGGAACTGTCAAACATTAAAAAATAATACCATGGAAAAGAAAAGAAAAGAAAGAAAAAATGAAAAACCCACCCTCGGTGGAGTTTTAAATGCTAGAAAGGGCCACTATGTTGAGGCCCCCCCTCCGACCATATTGTCTCAATTTCCACAGCCCCGTATCCCTTAGAACATGGAGTAAATTATGGAAGCTTTCCCCTACTCTAAACTCCTAAGCCCTCATCTCCCTCTTATCTCAGACCAACCATAAAAGCTCTCATGCAACACCAAACATATTCTTACACTTCTTGTGCCAACAAAAACCACCAATCTCAAGGGAGAAACTAAGACAGAAAAAAAAAAAAAAAAAAAAGAAAAGAAAGCCCACTTTCCATTCTATCATTGCAATCAAATACAACTATAAAAGTAGCCTTACTACCAGCAACACTTTGTTTTCTCGCTTTCCTGGAAGAACATAAAAAAAAAAAAGGATATGGAAATTGAATCAGTTAGATGTGAGTGTTGTGGACTGAAAGAAGATTGCACCCAAGATTATATCAATGATGTTAAGGCCAAATTTGACGGCAAATGGCTATGTGGGTTATGTTCAGAAGCTGTTAGAGATGAAGTGAGTAGAAGTAAGAAGCAATTTGGTGTTGAAGAAGCTGTTAAAGCTCACATGTCATTTTGTGGCAAATTCAAATCCAATCCTGCCGTTCGAGTAGCTGATGGTATGAGGCAGATGCTGAGAAGAAGGTCAGGAGATTTTTCAAACACTCTTAATTCACCTTCTTCTTCTAAGAAGTTCACCAGATCAGCTACCACAAAACTGTACTAATTGGCGAAAGAAGAGGAAAAGGGAGGAAAGACCTTTACCTTTGTTGGAATAATATTGATAGCCAAGCCTTTCTTGGCTACCTTTTCAACTTGTCTTGTACAGCAGATGTTATTTTAATGGAGGCTTCCTCCAGTTTTTGTCTTCTTCTTACCCTTGCTTGATATATTGGTATGCATTTTTTTTTCATATACTTTTTTTTCCTGTTTGAAGAGACAAAAGTTTTTCAAGATCTTAACTATAGCAAACACCGTTTCGATATCTCTTTTCCCAATTTTTCAAAAAACCAAAGGGTATGACGAATTTCATTTTACTGGATTTTTTTAACCCAATTACCATGGACAGCATGAAATGATTCTATATTTACCACTGCTTTTTCCAATTTTTTTTCATATGACAACTCTGTTTATGATGTTCGTCCATTGAGCTGAATATTGAAAGGTTGAATTAAAAACAAAGGGGTGGAATAGTTTTTACCTACAGAGAAAGTGAATTTACTTAAAGGTCAAATGACTTTAAACTGATGAGGGAAATGAGAGCAGAGTTACTGGTTTTTCTTTCCCATGCTGATAAATCATTGGCTGAAGAACTAGGAGTTTGACGAAGAAGAGCAGAGTCATTGGTTCCTGATCTGGAAGATATTTTCCCCCCAACTGGCTCAATTGATTCCCAAGGACAGAAAATCAGTAACAAATCTAAACTTTTCAATATTATAATACGGCAGCAAAGGTCAACTTTCCACTACACCAAAAAGGACTAAACCAACACTATGCCATATGGTTCAATGATTTGAGCCAAATTGTGCTTTTTTCCCACCATAAGCAGTAAATTGAATTATGAAATTTTCTGGTCTCTTTCTAATGGCTAAGTAACTGTTTCTTATCAATAAGATGCAAAAGCCTTTGCTTTATGCATCTGTTGATCTAATTTTTTTTATAAAGGAGGTTGCAACTTAAAAATAAAGATGAGGTTACAAGTGTTGAAATTTAGATTTTATGTCACTTTTTAAAAGCGATTATATAAATCAATTAAGTTAAGCTTTGAGTTTAAGCTAATTAATCTGATTTTGATAGGATTATATCAAATAAGTACATTTAATTGGTTTTTGTTAAGTGTTTCCTTATATTTGAAGCCTTAAATCTTGTACCATATCTTTTTGAGATGTTCCAGTATGTACAATACGAGTGCTTAAAAAGAAAAATCCTTAAGAGCTAAAATAGTGGAATCTTAGGAGACCAGCTGGTAGGCCATCTGATTAAAACTTTCCCCTTCCCCCCTGTCAAGTTTGGTCTACCAAACGCCCCCTTTGCTGTTGCTAAACTAACCACTTCATTTGATTAAGACAACTTTCCTATCCAGTAGGCAGCAACATCCAACAGGTCCCCGCATTAGGATACCAATATATACAAATGTAACACTAATCACAATTTGTAACATCAGAAAAACTTGCACATGTTACTGGAAAATATGTCAGAGAAAAACCTTCAATGTCAGCGGTCAGTCATTTGCTTAATCACCAAATTTAAGTATCCTAAGCACCTGTTTCGGCGCTAATTAATCATGTTCCATGTGATTAGTTAAATTACTTATAGATATGTCAACCTTTGCTTTATTGATAGTTGGCATTAATATACTTGATTTCTAGAGGACATCTCGAATCAGATTCTAGGCTTGCAGTAAAAAATCAGTGTTTTCTCACCGTTTCTAGACCATAAATTATCAGATACTTTCTGATGGAGGCAATAAAAGGCAGAATTGCTTGGAAGTTCTGTGCTGCCATTGCAATTATCAATCTTCAAGTAGCATCTGTTGGGGGTGTCAAGTTATCTTAAGAAGGGTTGATATTAAGAAACACTTGCTATGCTTGGATAATTTTCAGTGACAGATGTAGAATTTTTTTTTTTTTGGGTGTTTAGGATTTATTCAATGAAGAATTGCTAACAGATTTATTAATTATGTTGATGAAAAAGATGTCTTGATGAAAATCTTAGGGTATCCAGAAGAAATTTTTTCTTCAAATTTTCTTTTTTTTTTTTTTAATCTTTGAGGGTGTTTATGGGCATAGATTCTTCTTGGATAATTTTGCACCATAGAGTAAATTGCAAATCAATAAAAGGCAACTGCGGTTAGAGATTCCTGAAAAAAAGCAGATGTCACATATATTCCTGGGAAGCAATTAAAAATGGTGGTCTTGGAAGATTGACAAAGAAGCATAAGTCTTAATCCACCCTAAGCATCATACCAAGTTCCTCATTGACGAGCATCTCTTAGTCTACAGCAATATAACATCGATAACGTGTCCCGTGCACGAAGATCATCTATAGAGGGGAATTTGGTCCAGAACCTCGAGTCTTCTCTGATAGATTGCGATTGCAACCATTAAGCCAATTATGTATTACTATTCATTTCACTTTTTCTATATACTATTCATCCACAAGATTTTTAAACATGTCATGCGAGGTTGAACAAACATTTTTTTGGTACAACAAAAGCTGCAACTTGATATAGGAAAAAAAAGTTTGCACTTACAAATTCGCTAGATATAACCTTTCAAGGAACTAAACCCCAATTGAACTTAAACGTAACATTACTCTTGGAGAAATGGGAACTGTCAGAATTTAGAATTTCAAAACCTTCATAAACATTTTAAGGAATAGAAGGGCTTGTGAGTTATGATACTATATACCACAAACTAGCAAGGCCGTGGTGATAGATGCTGCTGCTACCCAGAGTCAGAAAGAAGATGCCAACTGCAATTGTGGACTTGGCTTTCAATTTCAAAGAGTCTATGGCTATAAGTTTCAGCTCATCTCAGTCTAGGAGCCAATCTCCAATTTCTGTTTCTTCTTTAAAAGTTTTCAATCGCTTCTTCAGCATTTTCCTTTTGTTGACACTCTACACTTCTTTATTGATGAATCATTACTTTCAGCCATGGATAACTCGAAAGGGTCTAACAAGAGGACTAAGTAATGATAGTTCAAGGCCAGAAACATGAAAGTATTATCTAGTGTAGTGTGGACATAATAGGAACGCAAATATATCATTAATTGAAGGAAAAGGGATTGCACCAAATATACAAAAGCATCATACCTTTTCTATCGAGGTATGTACCTTAAACATACACAAGTGGCCAACACGTTTTTTACTTATATGAATATGTCACAAGATCGTAAATTAATTTTCCCTCTGAAAATAACACTCACTTCTCCTGTCTAGCTTCTTTGTATTTCATTGATATCCTTCCCCTTATCTTGCTACACAATGAATAACAACAGGACAAGATGTTAGCAATGTAAAACAGGTTTCTAAAACACATGTTGAATACAACTCCGCAGGCACCCTGACTATGTTCTCATCCTTTCATTCCTAATAAATACAATATCCAATCATAAAGAATTCTTAACCATTACAGAATTTCTCTGTTTAGGATCAAAAGGCAGAAAAAAGGCTCAAGAAAAGTCACCAATAGTCTTTACAAGAACAAACCCCATCTCTATAATGGTGGAACCTTGTCCTATCCCTGACAACAATCTCTCTCCCATACACCTTTGAAACTAACTTCATAAAGGTATGACAGTCCTCACAAACTCTAAGATTTTTAACTATCCGAATGCATGGATCTTTTCTCCCATTGATGAGCCCATAACAAAGTGCTAACTTCTCACTATGCCATAGAACCACCTCCCTTTTCTCTTCCTCTTCTAAATCAACCAGAACACTACCGGTGTTAGGAGCATAGCCAACCAGCTTCAATTGATTAACCACTTCATCCAACTTGTCATATATCTCATCTGCTTGTTTGTGATTCCTATCTGCCACTAAAAATTCATGCACCTCATTGTTCAATTCTATCCTACTACATCCTTTTTCCTTAGATATACCTCTTTCTTTCATTAATTGCCTCAACTCCCCAACATCTTGCCACTTTCTTTCTTTGGCATAAATATTTGATAATAGTACAAGAGCCCCATCATGATCTGGCTCCAGCTCAAGTAGCCTTTTGGCAGCAAATTCTCCTAATTCAGTCTCACCATGAATTTGACAAGCAGCCATGAGGGATCCCCAAATGACAACATTAGGTGACAAAGGCATTGTCTCTACAATCTCAACAGCTTCTCTCAAAAGATTAGCACGGCCAAAGAGGTCAACCATGCAACCATAGTGTTCATGTTTAGGAGTGATCTTGTATTCATTAATCATGGATGTGAAGATTTTTTTGCCCTCCTCAACCAGCCCTGCATGGCTGCAAGCATAAAGCACACCCACAAATGTAATTCCATTGGGCTCAATATGAGCCTCTTTCATTTTATGAAAGAAGATTAAAGCATTATTGGCATCCCCGTGCATGGCAAATGCATTGATCATACTGGTCCAAGATATTACATTTCTTCTTGTCATTTTCTCAAAAACCCCTCTTGCTCTTTCCAGACTCCCACATTTTGCATACATATCGATGAGGGCATTGTTAATAGGTAAAGCTCCTCCAAAACCGTTCTTATCAACAAATAAATGTATCCATTTGGCTTTATCTAGTACACCAAGACGTGCACAAGCGGATATAACACTCAGCATTGTCACTTGATCAGGTCTTATTCCTAGAACTTCCAGTTCATTAAACAATCTAAGAGCTTCTTGAGGTTGATCACTCTCAGCATAACCAGATATCATTGCACTCCAAGATACCAAGTCCTTCTCTAACATTTGGTCAAAAATCAATCGAGCATCCTCAACTCGTCCGTGTCTTGAATATCCAGAAACCATGGCTGTTGAAACAACCAAGTTCTTTGGTGTCATCTGATCAAACAATTGCTGAGCCATATCCATACAACCACAACTTGCATACATAGTCACAAGAGCACTCCTTAAATGAGCATCAACCACAAGATCATTTTGAATAATGTAGTCATGTATTGCTTTCCCATAATCTAGATTACCAGCACGACCACAAGCAGAAAGAAAACTGGAAAAAATAAACTTATCCGCCTCAATATTTGCACTCTTCATCTCCTCAAAAAGCTCCAATGCATCATCAAAAAGTCCACTTTGACAATAACTGTTAACAACTCAATTCATCAAACAAACCGTCATTGATTTCGTCTCAGATATATATATATATATATATATATATATATACACACACATATATATATATGCCTTTTTCTATTACTTACTCCTTTTTACTACTTTTTTTTTTTTTTTACTTTCTCATAAGTTGCTGAGCCGAACAAAAACAAATACTAGTAAAAAAAAATAATATCATATCGTATTTAATTACAATTTAATAAACAGAAAAATAAATATTTAAATTAGAAAATGGAAAAATCATAACTTTCAGTATTAAAAAACTTTTATTCAATCTTTTAATTACGCAAAATCATTATTTACTTTGCACCTAAGCAGTATGGTCGAATACTAAGTGCAGAAAGAAGTTTGAATTACCCTTCCTCAAAATTATGCATGTCATTAAGAGAATTACTGTTTGATTTCGTATTCAGAAACATCTATTATTTTTATTTTTCTTTTTGAGGCTAGAAGCATCTTTTATTTAAATTAAAGGGAACTTTAAAAAATAGCAAAAACCTTACCCATCTATCATAATACTCCATGTAACAATATCCCGGTAAGACATTTTATCAAACACCAGCCGGGCCTCCAAAAGTCTCCCACAGCCCAGATACATTGCCATAAGACCGGTCTGCACGAACGGGTCCGAATCAAAGCCCGACTTAAACCCAAACCCATGGATCTCTTTCCCTTCAGCCAAGCCCCCAACCGTCGCCGCAGCCTTTAAAAGCGGAGGAAAAGCGAACCTGTCAATTCTTATACCTTCATTCCTCAGTCTTTGGTAAACAAAGAAAGCCAATTCGGGTTTGGAGCTACGAGAGAGGTGGCGTAGGAAGGGAGTGGAGATGGAAGGGAGAGGGTGAGGGAGGTGGAAAAAGATGGAGAGAGAGTAAGTGAGCGAAGGGGAGGAGAGAAGGAGCTTAAGTATGAGGGAATGGGAGTGGGAGTGGTTGGAACGGAGGATTTGGGCGTGGATTTGTTTGAAGTGGGTAAGGGAGTGTGATGAAGAGAGGGTTTTGAGAAGGGTTTTGGGGGCTGGGAGAGATTTGAAGTTCCGCGAAGCGAGAGAAATGGTGGGTTGGGGAACAGCTGACATGTGGGTTTTCAATTACGTTACGACCTCCCAGTTCGAGAGATGTTGGACAAAGAGCAGCTTCTTGGCCTTTGGTAACAGTCGAGAAATGGAGGGAAGTTAAAGATTTTTTATATAGGTTAACTTTTAGGTCAGGAGGATGCTAATCGGTTCGATACTCTCATTTACTTTTTTTTTTTTTTTTTTAATCTGGAATACTCTCATTTCATTCTTTGACGGAACCCAAAAACAACACTGGACCACAGCCCATGCACGAGTTTCCTTGTGTGACTCATTAACTGTGAAGTCTGCAGAGAGTCTCTTAACGCTCATCGCTCATTACTCAAAACTAAAAAAAAGTGAAATTGAAGGATAATGGCTAATGGCTGCAGCTATGTTGCGGCTTGAGCAAAATCTTAGGTCCACAAATGTAGCCTTGGTTTCCTTTTTATTTCTGTCTTTTTACTCGTTAAACACTACCTGGAAAGCAATGCGAGTTGTTTTAAAGCTATTAATTTGTCTAAAAATTTTCCGGTAATACTAAAAGTTTGTTGGTAGTGGCATCAATGTTTCTGTGGCATTATTACCTTAAAATGTTTGTTCTTTTATTAGGAGCTATTGACACAATTTTCTTGAAAGATTTACGTCCAACTCGGTTAATCATTTCTGATGATCAGTACTGTTGATGATGTTTCGGACGGAGATGAGCTGGCTTGTGAGCTAGGCTAGTCTGGACCTACAACAAGAAAGCACGATAAAAGGCGTTAGAGTTTTTTTTGGGGGTCCTTTGACACTCAAATTAGTTAAGTGCCATAGGGTTTACGAAAGAGGAAACATAAGTTACAAAGAGAATGGAGGAAGCTTAAGAATGAAGGATTTAAAATGTGTATGTGGACATTTTTTTTATTTTATATAAAAAACAATCAGACGGTTACATGACTGGAATCGGTAATAGTTAATGGGAAGTCCATGTAGAGATTGGAAAGAGGCCACATGAATGAACTTGGGCTGTATTTAATAATCCCAGAGCAGGTAGAGGTAAGTTGCTCTGTTTCCATGGGTCTAGGTACGTGAGCAGCTTAAGGGCAAGACCTATTGTCATAAGGAATCTGGGCATCATTCTACCTTAGTAGTGACATGGCAGTCATACATGTGCTGACTTGACGAATGTGGAGGTTGACCTTATTGGGGTGTAACAAGTTCATTTATTGTCTAATTGCAGGAGGTGGTCTTGTCTGGGTAAGTATATATGTTTCACACACATTATTGCATGATCTTTGTATTCAATTTAGGTTTTAATATACAAAGCATAAGCCCAATAATGAATAGAGATTATATAGCTCAGAAGATTCGAATGCTGACCATGTTCTTGCGTTACATGGAACTCGGATGCTGAGAGAATTAGCAAATATGCACGTCTCATTTGCTACTTTGTGATGAAATTTTCCAGTTCGTGGACATATCAGTAATATGGTGACTAAAACGCATGCTTGATCCCTTGGATCCTCTACTAAGTTAATAGGCTGAACTTTCCTTAGATTTATTGTTCATATGTTGCTTTTAAAGTTAACAGGATATCTTGCCTTCAATGTCTGTAATTTGCTTTCTGAAATTCCGGAGACTTATAATGCTCGAATCAAAGATAAGTGAAAATTCTACAAGCATCAAATCAATAAGTAAACTAAATGTTATTTTCTTGGATTTATCATTATGCATGCTTCATAGATTTGGGTGTGCGGGGACAAAAACTTTTTTGGGTAGGTCATTTGCATTCTTAAAGGTAATATTGATAAATGTATTGGCATCAGGAAATTATCTTTGATTTTTTTTTTTTAGGTAAAGATGATTTATTCTTTTTTACTTGAATTTCTTTTTTCCTTTTGTAAAATATTACTAGAAATTTTTTCTTGACTGTCAGATGTGTAAATTATGGATGCTGATGTTCTGGGAGTATCATCTGATGGTTATATGTTTACACAATGTTATATTCATATACCATAATTTTCCATTTAAAAAAATTTTTGTTTTCTATTAGGGGATTAGGGTTTCGAACAAAAAATTGCATATTGTCTCCTACATGATGGCTAGAAATTTGCCATCAGATTGAGACCTCAATCTTTTCTCTTCATTTTGTCATATATTTCTTCAAGTTAAATGCAAGGTTAGTGTTACAGATTAAACAAAAGCTGATTCGGGTTTTATAACTTTTACTGTAGTTTTAAATATTCATGGTTATGTCTGATGTTTCCTTGTTTACAATGTTGTTGGCATCTGCGTATATGTCCTACATGCATGTTAATAGATATCTGTATACAGTTGTTTATTGCTAAAGTTTCCTTTTCGTTAATTGACAGTCAAATGACAGAGTAGTGAAGAAATATGGTGATTCTCTTTGGTTAATTGAAAGTCAAATGACAGAGCAGTGAAGAAATCTCGTGATGATCCTTGGATGATACAACTTATCTCTAAACATCTCTATCTAGAGGAAGTTTTTATGATTCTACGTCTAAAACTCCAGGCAGTCCTACTTTAGTACTTTCAGATTTTTTTGGTTTTGTGACCAATATCACTTCCCAATGATGATTCATGTCAAGTGATAATATCAATAATGATAAAAAAATTCATGATTATTCCCATATTGACATCGCAGTGATTTCTGCAAAGACTTTGACAGAAAAAAGATTGATTTTGAGATCTAAGCAAATTCCTGTAAGTGCACTAAGTTTCTTTAGCAGTGTTTAACATTATAATGAAGTTGTATGAGAGTGCATTTAGATGTAGAACAGGGACTTTTAAACTTGTTTTTGTTGCTATCGAGCTCATGTAATGAACTTGGCTCTTCCATTTGTTTTTGCTTGGTAGTTATAAAATTCAAAATCAATGGTCCGCGATTATCTTGTATATGCTGTCAATAAAAGTAACAATTTATCAGATTAGCACTGATTTGATATCAGACTTCTTTTTGGCCTAAAAGAAGCTATGGAGTTATTCATCAATTAATCAGGCCTACAACTACTATAGTATGTCTTACCAAAAATCAGTGTGTGACAGGTTTGGGAGTGGCACAGGCTTATTATTCTGCATGTGTATTCCTTTTGTTAAAATGACATTTTTTTTTTGTTTTTTGCAAATGAAAATAACGTTTTTGTAATTGGCTGATCCAGTCTTATAGATACTTACCATAACTGCATTAAATCTAATTATTGCCTTTCCAGGGGGGCTTGCCAAATGTTTTCATGGCATTTGGATTGAGTTCCCTGTTTCCTGACTACCTTGCTATTCCAGGTTAACTCTGTTACTGATCTGATGGTATGTTTAGTTATACGGCTACGGGAGGATATTCATCACCATAGTACCTCAAGTATGCCAAGCAGAGCACAGAGTCGTGCCTGTAAGAGAGCTCACCGTGGGCATTGATTGCATCATCAGGAGGGTTCTTTGGGCTCCCATCATAAGCAAGCATTCCAATTTCGGCGTAGTGCCTAGTTGGGAGGATATCAGAGAAGAGTAGTAATGTAAATTTGATTTCTGGAGGTTTATTTGGGGGTTTGAAAGCATGAAACTTGCGAATACATTTGCATCATGAAAGTCATACTGTTGACATGGAAATGCAATTGTTAGATACAAGGAATTGAAGGTCACAGTATCAATTTTAGATTTTGGTTTTATTCAGCTATAATGAAAGGCATTTTTGCCAAGTAATTGAGAAAGAACAAGGTTATTTTTTTCTTATAGCACTAAAGTTTTGGATCTGATGCATATTAGAAGCAAGTTAGCTATTTTTCTGAACCTTCATACCAATGGTGATGAAGGTAGACTTGGCGTTGTGGATGACTTGCTGGGTCCTAATAGTGAAAGCAAGAAGGCTGATAGAGAAATGAATAGCACCAGAACAGAGAAAGCAGATGACTAGATTCCCTTCAGCCTTGAGGTTTTTTATATTTATTTATTTATTTGTTTTGATTTTGTGACCCATATCACTTCCCAATGCAGGCCAGGACCGTTGGTCCTCCTCACCTGCTGGCCATTTTACTGCTACGAAAAGGTAGGCGGTGAACAAAATATGGCTTCTCTTGAGTTGCAAATCATCTTTCTTTTTTGTCTTAACATCATGCTTTGGGAATGCTAGGGGTAAATGTCAAATGATTAATCACTTGTTGAAAGCATGCTCTTCCTAACTTTGGCTGCTGTCAAAGCCATTTAAAGTTTTAAAAGCAGCTCGCAATCATGCTCTAAATGTAATTAATCTCTTAATTACATCCATAACTTGAGAGTATGAAATCTTTGTTCATTTATTGTTTTTGCTTTTGGAGGCTTTCTTTCTCCTCCATCTTTAAAAAAAAAAAAAATTAGCTTTAATTTTAGTTTTAGAAGATACAAAAGTCACCAATCATAAAATATAAAATTTAATTTAATTAATTCATACAATTATTTTTAAAAATAATATCAAGTTAGTCTAAATTAAATGCCACTGCTTGAAATATATTTTTTTATTCTTTAGTTGTGATTATTGAAAAAGTATATACGGTCACCTTTGGTACCCTACTTCCACTCCCTACCAAGCGCATTTCGACGAAGCTTATATGTAAAACAAAATGCATAAAAAAGAGTTATGAGGTTCACAATGAAACAACAGCTCATCCTTTCTAGGAAGGATCATGGCACCTTCCTTCTTTGTCTTTACATGCAAAACTTTCTAAAACTTCCTAGAGATTGCGACTTAAAGTTCAATTAAATTCTATTTTTTTTTCTGGTATATAATTCTAACACCAATATATGGATTTTTTTTTGGGTTTTTTTGTTCTATACAATTGTATGTATTATTAAGTACAACTTACAATCATAATATCATCACTAAACAAGCTACATCAACATCGAATAAATCAATATAAAATTGAACCAATTGAGAATCCAACTTGAATTTGGGATTGATTGAAAATGTAACCTACACCCAATGAAACTTAGATTTGAGATTTAAAAGTTTAAAAATATCTTCTTTATCATTGAGACAAATTCTCGTTCGCATGGATGTTGATTTAAGCATTAGCATTTTCCTTTTCTAATTCAATGCTAGATAATCTTTGGTGATTTTTTTTTTTAATTTGTATTTGGATGCAAATTTTGTTAGTTAAAAATGAAAAATAAAAAAAATTAGGCTAATTCGTATAGAAAAAAATAATAAAAAAAAATTTTCAACTAGTGATTGATTAGATATAAAAAAATTATCAAATACATTAACAATAAAATTTTTGTAATTTTATAAGTGAAATTAAGATGATAACACATGTCTAACCCACAAAAATATAAATATCACTCCCTTTTGTTTAACTTTTTTTTTATTTAAAATTATCAAAATTTAATATTTAATCATTAAAATTAAAATTTTAATACTCTATAACAGATCACCCGTTAGGTTTGCCCTTCTTCTTTGGGTTTGATGACTTAATTTCCTTGCCACATGCAAATTGCAAGCCACTTTCCTCTTCCGTGTATGAAAAAGTAAAATAATAATAATAATAATTAATTAAAACCTCCTTTTCAAAAAGTTGATGATACTACAAATATTTAACTTTCATTACCTAAAAAATTTTTAAAATAAAAAAAAAATTGTCTTAAAAAATGCATCATTGATATATTTGATTTTTTCTTTTTTTTTTATTTTATTACAAAACATACGTAGTTAATGACTTAATATTGAATTTTAAAAAAAAAATTCTAAAGCGAGTTTTCATTTGTCCCCATCAATCAAATTTTAGCATGCAATGAAAATACAAAAAAATATTAGCAATTAATATTTTGGACGCAATGAAATTTAAATATTTGACTAATCTTACTCTTACATAAATTTAATTAAATATTAAAATATTTATGTCTACATATTTATCTAATTTTACATATACTATATTTTATTTGCAAACAAAAGTATAGGTAATATGAATTTTAATTATAAATAGATAATTTACTATTGTTATTGGATATAGGCAAATACTTTGATAATTAACAACTAATTAATTTTAGTTGGAAAAAATGAATTAAATAATATTTTGCTTGATAAACTAAAAAATTAAGTACTGAATTTTCAATATTAAATTTGAATTATAAATATTATTTCATAGTTTATTGAAGATTAAATGCTGAATATAGATATATTATTTGATAATTGTAAAATATTAAATTATGAAAATTTATCATTGTATCTTTTGACCTTTATTTTTATTATAGATAATGAAACAGTATTTTTACAAGATAATAATTCAAATTTTTAAAATAAAATATTTTTTGCATAAAGTGATAAGTATATTTATATTTATTTATCTTATTTAATACCTTTTAATTGAAAAAATTCTTTTAAATAGATTTTAAAATATATTATCAAATGCATTGATAAATTTAAGTAATAAAAAATTTCATTTTCACTGAATTGAAATTTTTCAATAGTTTATTAAATGAGTTCCATGTATAAAATTATTGTTAGCATCCAACAATGCATGTGCATGATGCATCTATCTTGCAACCATCATTTTTATTTTTTATATAAAAGCCAATAAAATTTTATGACCATCATTACTTTCATTCAAAGTTTTGGAAAGTATTTTTTATAATTAATAATATATTTAAATTAAACAAAATTAAAGTTAAAAAAATTTAATAAAAAAATCAAATTTAAACTCTATTTATGAAAAGAAATCAATAAAATAAAGATATCCAGATACAATCTATGATCTATATTAGTTTAGTACGTAACAAATTCATTTATAAGTTTTTAACTGGATAAGTTTAATAATTTTTCAAATCACAAACCCATCTTTATTATAGCTGATTAGTTTTATCTTCCAATAATAATTACATTATTATTGTCTTCTTATGCCATGTTCTTAATTCATTATTACAAAATCTTAACAACTCTTTTGTTCTTTTTGCCCTAAACTTTCTCTTAATAAATTAAACAATACCATGAGTTTATAAAAGAAATCCAGTTCATAAATTGTTTTAATTCTTTGTTTTTCTTTCTCATATGCTAAAAATATCTTTATTTTCCTACTTAATCATTAATTAATTAAATTAAAGTGTACTTAAATAATTTGTAAACAATACTCAATAATATTAGTAGCTATATAAATCTCTTTATTTTCTTTCTTAATCATTAATTAATCAAACTGAAGAGAACTGAAGTAATTTGTAAATAATAGTCAACAATAGTAGTAAAAATTATTAGTAGTAGCTATTTATTTTTTTCATAAAAAAAAATGATAGTATTGTAGGATCTAATAGTTTTAAATATGATATAATCATACAATATAAAAATAATAAAAAAGTTTAATTGAAAATTATTTAAAAAATTAAATTTATATTTAATAAAAATAAAAAATAAATTTTATATTTGATATATTTATATAAATTTAATACAATATTTTTTATATTTTTATACATATTTACTTAATATACAAAATATAAATATAAAAAATTTTAGATTTTCATTGAGTAGGTAAGTGATGGATGATTCCACTTCCCCCTTGAGTTTTCTGCACGCCCATATTAAACGGCAGATTTCAGAATTTTCATTGACAGCCTCACCTTTACTTCTGCAAAAAAAATATTCCCATTCTTAAAAAGAAAAAAGAAAGTTTGAAATCACAAATTTTAATTACCCTTTTCAGCACTCAATCTCAAAGAAGAAATTATTTTCACAATCCTTCCTTCCACTCCAGGTTTTGGGTTTCTTTATCAAAATCTTCCAAATAAAAAGGGAAATTTTTTTTTTTAAGATTGACGCCATTGCTTTTATGATTTCAGCTTTTCCACTCTTCAAACTGATCAAGATTTTGATTCGTTTGTTCAACAAAGCATCTTTCTTGTTACTATTAATCTTGTTCCAAACATTCTCCTTTGTTTCCACTTGTTCACAATTCACCTCAAAAACATCAAATCTTTGTAATAAAAACAGAAAACCCAAATCCCAAATACCCTCAGAAAACATCATGAGAATCCACCCAATGCCCAGGAAAAGAAACATCACTATCCAATATGAGATGAACCCAAGAACCACAAGGTCCCAAGCTGAGACCTTGTTGACTGGTGGCTCACACAAGAAACTCCGGAGGCTGCCCCACATCTTCAGCCGCGTCCTGGAACTGCCTTTCAGGTCGGATGCTGACGTGGCGGTGGAGGAAAGCCCCGACTGTTTCAAGTTCGTTGCCGAAACGGATGGGAGAATCGGCGACGTTGTCAGGGCTCATATGGTGGAAATCCATCCTGGGGTTACTAAGATTGTGATAAGGTCGAATAGTTTGGTGGATTTTAGTTCGTTGGATGATTTGGAGCTTGACATGTGGCGGTTTAGGCTTCCGGAGACGACGCGGCCGGAGCTGGCGAGTGCGGTTTACGAGGATGGGGAGCTAATTGTGACGGTGCCGAAGGGAGGTGAAATGGAGAATTTGGAGGAAGGAGGTGGTGAAGGTGAAGGGAATAGGGAGTTTAGAGGAGGTATGGGAAATGGTAATAATAATAATAATAGGCTTGTTCTTGTACAGTAATAACAATCGAACCGTTTCCTTTGTTTAAATTGCATGTTATTTTCATCTTAGTCTTTGAAGGTCGTTGCTGAAGCTTAGCCTTCCTTTTGTTTTTTTTTTTTTGGTATGGTTACCTTTTATTACTTAATCAAATCAAGAATTGTTCTTCTATTGCATGATGGGCATTATGACAGGTTTGGTTTGATAGTGTTTTCTTGGCATGATTTTGATGCGTTTATTGGGGAATTTAGATGATTTCTTTGGCATGATCTTGATGTGTTTTGTTGGAGGATTTACCTGGGTTAATACCTTTGAGTAGAATAGTTGTTTTATGTGCATGTTTTTTGTATATTAATGTTACTTATGGTGCATTTCGATTTTTGAAGGAAGAAAAGGATTAGGAATTTTGATATGTTCATAGGAATGTACATGCTCAGCATAAGTTCTTGACTATGAGACAAATGATCATAAACATGTTTGTGGATGTTTTTTGTTCCTATGCTGCTTTTCCATAGAAGTGAGAATCGACATAAACTGGTCTAAATATGTGCTTGATTCAAATTGGGTTCTTTTCATTTCTTATCCCATAATTAGGCAGATGGTTTTCCCATAGAAGTGAGAATCGATATAAACTGGTCTAAATTTTACTATCGTTTTGTTTTTCACATTTCCTGTTAACTAATCAAGAATCAAGATGTTACATGCTTGTCGACATTACAAGGTTGTGATTGTGATTGACTAAATGATTACTTTCCGGTCTTGGTCCTAGAGATTCATGGTATTTTAAAAACGTGTCTGCATTTTCTGGTATGCATCCTGGGTTGAAATTCAACCATAAACAATGTAAAGCAAAAGCATTTTTTGTGTGCTGATGTTGAGAATTGGTTCCCTTCTTACTTTGTGGTTAAGAATCTATTCTTTTGGTCCACTTGGTCGATTTGGGTAAGGCCATCAATTCTTGCACTTAAGGGTTTCATATTTTGCCATGTGATTTTGGTGATTTAAATATTTCTTCTAGCATATCAAGCTCTTGCAAAGTAATGGTAAACTACATTATCTTTTGAGGTCTTTTATTGATTCATTCTCTTCATACTATGAACTCAGTTTCTCTCCCAGTGTTCCATATCTGTGATTGTCATTGGTTGCTGAACATGCGTTCTCAATTTCTCATCCTAATTTACTGCAAGACTTTCCAAAAACATTTATTATCATACATCCCATTTTCCCAAATTGACATAAACGTTGCCTTCTAACCTCCCACAAAAGGTCGATTTCCGCTATTCTTAATATCTTTTAGATTGGCCATGCTGGTTGTCTTACTGTTCAGGCACCCATCCTTTAGGGTTGGAAACAGCTCCCCAAGCCCTTGAGAGGAGCTGGGAATGAGATTTGACCAGGGACCAGGGTAATGGTTTGCTTACCTTTGACTGCAAATGCTTTTCCTAGAAATTGAAACTCCTTTTATTAGCCGTGGGAGGGATTCATTTCCTATATCAATTTTCTTGGTAGGGATGCTCTTTGGGGTTGCAATTGTGGAGTGACTAAAGTCACCATTCTTAGCTGAATCGATACATAAGAACGTCTCATTGCACCCTCTAACACTACCCCTAATTATATCTGTGTAATGAATCAGTTATCAAAGAAATCATATGATTTCCATATAAAGTTTTCAACACAATTTAATTCCTAACTAAAAATTATGCGACTGTCACACGAAAAGAAAATAAAAAAGGTAATATGAAAAAGAAAATCAATCAAAATCCATGTAATGAGTGGGGGGACAAAATCATCTGCTAGTTTGAATGACTAATGACAGTGTACAATTAACTGAAATGCCGTTTCGTTTGGAAGACCATGAAAGATTAGATTATTGTGTAATTAAGGCCAAATCTTGAGGATGAGAGAGTAATTTAATCTTGTTATATTGTAATATATGCTATTTTTTCTAATTTAATAAAAACGTGAAATGAGAGATCAAACAAATAAAATTAACATCCATTTTTATCAAGTAAATCAATTTTGCAAACAAAAAAATTTGGATGATACAACCTAGGAAGATACTTGTATATTTATTCTAAAAAATTCTTCGATTTTGCGTGGGTCACAAATTTCTTTTTATTTTTAATAAAACTTAAATTTTTAAATTTTTAATTTAATAATTATATAAAATTTTAAATTCACACATTCTCAAATAAAATGATAATCAATTAGTAAAATATTTAAAATATTTTTAATTTTTTAATTATTTGAAATCATAATAATTTTATATAAATAAAAATATGATCTAAATATCTTTAATAGTATGTATATATGATTTTCATTTATTTTAAATTTTTTATAATTATTTGAATTTAATCTCAAGTTAAAAAAATATATGCATATATTATTTTCAAAACTTAATCCATTATTATTACATTTAAATTTATTAGTTTATTATAATATATAATACTTTTATTTAATTATTTTTTAGGGCAATTAAAGATATGTAGATTAAAAGTTAATAGAAGGGAATTTTTTATCCAAAACTTGATGAAACAAAATGTTCATTAGACTTAAGCTTTTATCACAAATAAAATCATAGGATCTAATTTTACTTCCAACCCATCTCCTATAACAAATAATGATATTTTTCAAAATGGATCCTCAAATAATAGGTAAAAAGATTAAAAAAAAAAACTTTAAATAAAAATTCAATAGCGTTCAATTGAAATAAAAATAAATATTTAAGGGTTTAATTAGATAAAAATAGATATTTAAAAATTCAATTGATCTAAAATAAAAAAAATTAAAGTTTAATTAATTACAATAAAATATCATAAATTTAAATTATTATTAAATTTTTGTTTGAATTTTTTTTATTCTTTTGCCTATATAAAAAGAATTAATATATGAAATATGAGTCAACTAAAATATTTTTCTAACCATGTCATTGTCTAGAGGGAGGGTAAGTTACTAACGGATGCAAACACCCAATGATAAAAAGCAGACACCAGTGCAATGACGAGGATCACACCATGCGTCTAAATCAAGCCATAAACAGAGATGATAATGTGTTTACGCACATCAATTAACAAAAGTTGACTCAGTTAAAGTAATAAACCATGAAACTTGCCGGTTTAAGCCTGATTAGCACCTAAAGAAGTTCCTTTTGTAATGTTAATTTTCGGGAGGGAATATTTAAATAAATCATTCCATGCTACAACACAACCAAGGAAATGTATATTTCTAATTTCTGTTTGATATTAAACCTTTTCATTGCAAATAACAAAAATCTCTGCAGAAAACTGCTTCCCCTTTTTTTTTTTTTTTTTGCTGGGGAAAAATTCTAGTCTCAAAAGGCATTAGACCCAATCCCTGATCCCCAATGGCACAGAACTTGCTCCCTAGTAACAGGATTTTCTCATAGCTTCTGCAACAGCAGTTCTACCAAATCATACAACAAAATCAGTGAGTGGGGAAAATGGCACCCAGACCAGAGCGGATCGAGTGACGCAACTTCCTCTCTGCTAACAATCAAGCTTCATAACATATTTTCCCCATGCAGTTTCTTTGGCAATCAATGAAATAAAGGACACTTGCAGAAAACTCATTAAACTGATGAAACCAAACCTCGTATGATCACGATCTTGTCCTAGGGGCTGAGCTCAATTGTGATTTCTATAATGCAATGTTCCTTTTTTAACAGCCTTCACATGTCTTCTCTCACTCTTCTTGGACAGAGGAATCACGATTCTTGGGGTGCACGGTTTGGCCTATTTTGCATTATGCAACTTCAAAGTCAAAGATGTATCGTAATCAGTTCAAAGGATGTGTTACAGTTCAAAAGCAAAATTTGTTGTTCACTGGACAAATTAACCCATTCTTATGCCGAATGCTTTAGTCCTCAATTTCCAAACCAAACTGTTCCTTCAGGGTAGCTTTAGGAGTCCTGCCAAATCCATTGGCCACTTCTTCCATTTCGTTGAGTTTCATGACTTCTTGTTTTATCTGATCCACTCTGTTCAAAATGGCATTCAGCAAAGCATCTAATACAGTTCCAGATGCCAGATGAGACAGTTCAGATCTCTCCTCGTCCAGTTGCTGATAAAGAATGCAAAGGTAATTTTTCTGAGCATAAAGCCTTTCTTCTGCAATTTTGTATTCAGACTCTTAAGCCTTTTTCAGAGCCTGAAGAACCTCATCAATTTTATATTCAAGTTTTAGGTATTCACTCTGATAATCAGAAGATATTGATAAAACTGACACCAAACTCGATCTAGTATCCAGAGAGTCCTGATGGTTTGTTGGTTCAAGCTCTACATTTCCATTATGGAATACACCTGCACATAAACCCAAGATGGCTTCTTATCCAAGTTTTATGTAGATGCATGAACAAACGGTACCACAGAGAGACAGACAGAGAGAGAGAGAGAGAGATTACACAAGGAACTATGAAAAGGTAAAAAGGAAATAATAAACACAGTGAAATGCATTACATGCGGGGACAAACTAAGAAATATATTTCAAATCTTCAAGCTTTGATATTTTAAATTCTCAAACTTCAATAAATGCATCCATGCTTAAACTCTGGAATTCCCTCACCTGTTTTGCTCAATATTACATTCTGCCTATTTTGGTCAACCTCAAATGACCAGTCACATGTATGCCCATAGCATCTAAAGAAAGAATCATGGTGTTGAAGAATATTATCAACAATACAAAATGACATTATTGAAGGCAATGGTAAGTGAAAATTTACACACTGAGAGTTAAGTAAAGAAGGGTTTAACAACAAAATTCATATGCAAATTACGATGTATAGAGTAGTGTAGACAACCATCTGGATCTGCCACAGTGATTGTCCAGAAAACCCACAGTGTAATTGATATGCATTAATGCCTAACTGATCGAAAAGATGACAAAATAACAAAACAAATAAACTGCCCATCTTAGAGAGGAAAATAAGGGAGTTTTTTTCTTAAGCCGCTCAATTTCCAAATGTACAGCACATATTTTGATGCAAATTAATATAATAAAATGTTTCATGCATTGCTAGCTAATGTAAAGTTGTGACTTTATTAACTTTCATATAAATGAGATTCACAATTAAATTACCTGTAGAAATAGCAGAATCACTTTCTTTCACTTTCCAGATATCTTCAAGAGAAATCCCACACTTAAGCTGATGTAAAAAAGAAAAGCTCTTACTAGCTTTTTTACGAACCCCCAAAGAGCACAAAGAAAAATTTTTGCAAAAGCAAGAAATCTTTAAGGCTTTGCTTGTTAAGAACTAGGAAGAATAGAACGGGGTAATGATGGAAAATTTATTAATCCAATTGTTAGCTTTCATAGCCACTTTCCTACTTTGTAGCTTAACCATTGGCTTAACAAATCTTCCATCCTTCCTACCAAGCAAAGCCTAAGTCTCGTAGCTAGATTGCATTAGCTTTACCTTTGTGATAGCTGACTCAATATGGTTCAGTAAGCCCCTTGCCTTGCTCATCTGTGAACCACGTAAAATACAGACACCAATATTCAGAATCTTCTCAATGTCATCACGAGAATCTATGGACTCACAGGTTTTTAAAAGCATCATCACATGTGGAACCAAAGATGTCTTTGCATCACAACGTAAACGATAGTACTCAGCATCCAACCCAATGCTACCTCCAACTTTCCCAGCCAAGTAAGAGCGAAGAGCACAGTTCAGATGAGCAACATGCCCACATATACAACCATCCACCATTGCTTCACATTTAATATAGCCATAACCATCATATTTCAAGTCGACATTCTTGCTACACAAAATGCAGCAACAGTCACGGCAGAAACAAGGTTCACTACAGCAAAGATCACAAGGCAAGGGAACCAAAGAAGGGCTTTCTGCTTCAGCAAATAAACTTTTGCGCTTTCTATTTCCAGCCTCACAAGTCAAACCATCAGACTGGGGGTCGGAAACTGAAAGGTCAGCTATCTCTTCAGGAGGGGCAACAAAGAAAGCTCGTGCAACTGCATTACACATTAAGAAGCAAAAGTTTGTCAGATAAGGAAAATAGTTCACGGTTAAAACTAGACATCTTGAATAAACTACCTTAAAACATTTAAGGACATTCTATATATGCTGCCTCAATAAGGGGAAATCATGGTAAGGATGCAGTCTTCAATAATACCAAGAGGTAAAACACCAAAACTTTGCTGGGTGGGTGGAAAAATGGAAGCATAGAAAATTGGAGGGTAAAAGTGACAAGATGGAAAACATACTTTTTATTTCCATAGGTGTGCTTGGTAGGAAAGATGAAAAAATTGAGAGAAAAAATAATTTTCTTTCCATCCCTTGCTTGATAGAGTTGAAAATGAAAAAAAAATAAAAAAAGAAATGAAAATTGTATTATTTCATCATTATACCCTTTGTAAGCTAGATAAAATGGTAAAATTTAAACAATGAAGGACAATCTTGTAAATATGCGACACTAGACTCACACCTCTCCCAATTTCTCCTCTTATCTTTCCAATTTGAAATGATTTGTTTTTGTGAATAAGAGTGGAGATTCTTTCTTATTTTCTTTCTTCCCACTTTTTTCTCCTACCAAGCACTAACAAAAATCATTTTCTCTCCATGTTTCCACCCACCCCCTTCCATCATCTCACTTTTCTACCCTACCAAGCAGTGCCTAAGAAAATGAATTAAAAGCATAAGATCATTACCTATGTGATGCAATGATAGACATTCATTAAGATTGCATTTCCAAGTTCATGAAAAAAAAAAAAAGTCAAGTACAAAAGAATACCATTATTTACTCAATGACTGCACTGAAGAATATGATTGTCATGAAAGAGCAGTTTGATTCTCATATTCAGCGGTAAGATGCTAATGGTTACGAGAGTTATTTTATTATCTATGGCTATCCTCTAATTACACAGGACGCATC